CCAGTCTGCTCACCGCCATCTTTGAGAAAGGAAAAACGCACGGGAAGAGGACAGCAGGTTGCCAGGTTGGAAAGAGGACTGGATTTGGCATGGACAGATACAGAAGGCTGACCAGCAGGGGATAGGGATCAATAGTAGTGATCGTACGTGTTCCCGTGTTCATGGCCCGAGAGGAAGGGAGAAAGAGTATACGGCAAAGAAGCAGCGGGATGACATCGCAACCAGATGCGGAGACAAAGTCACAAAGGCAATCGTCAGGAGTGAGGTCGATAGTGGATTGAGAGGGATCGCACAGCGAGAGATAGGAAAATGTGGAGGTGTTTACTCACGTTACAAGTGACCTGGAGAAGGTAGATGGTAGAACGGCGATGCAAGTGGCGAAAAAGATAGTGAGTTGATGTCACAGCTGGATATGGAGACAAGCGCAGCGATCAGGGGGGAGATGGTGAATGGCAGGAAAAGTTCCAGACAAAGATTCGGTCGGGCAGAAATCTAGTAAATCTTAAGTATGCTGTAGGACCGAGCGGGACTGTCCCTGGGACACCGTATTTTTTTGGCCTAAGTCTGCAGAAACTTTTGTCGGCCTATACCAGTCTCCTCTGACCCTTCAATCCTTCGTGAAAAAAACGGACCCAGCCGTCCCAACACCCCTCATTTTTAGCGGAGAACTCAGTGAGGGCTTTTAAAAACATCCAACCAGGGAAACGTCTCAGTCTGAGCTCCTTCCTCAAAGATACCCACCTGGTCGATACCGGATCTCTATAACAACCTGGGCTTGAAAAAAAAAAAAAAAAAAAAAAAGACGAAACAAATGTTCATGTGCATTTCTTAGCATGCGGGTTGCAGGTTTTGTGTGTGGTGAAGCAAGATATGGAACCAAGTCCTACTTGGGATTAGCAATCTGTAAACATACATGTACATTTGTTTTGGATGTGAAAGTAGGTTTAGGTTGGGGTTGTGTCACGTGTGTGGTGAAGCAAGATGTGGATCCAAGTCCGACAATGCCCCCTTTCCGCCCCCGCAACTTCAAGTGTTTTTTTTTTTTCTTTTTTTTTTGCTTTTTTTATTAAGCCCAGGGTGTTGTAGAGGTCAAGGACCAGACCTGCGGTGATTGCTGGTAGCAGCAGCCAATGGTTGTCCTGACAGGATAGGCCACCTACCCTACCCATCCACACGTTAATACTCCCTGTGCACCCCCCTGTCCCTACTATCCTACCTCAGTGTGACCAGCACTCAGGACCAGAGTCACCAGCCCGTACGTACGGAGGTCCCCAGACCGACCTTCGTACGTATGGGTGTTCCGGGTCCTGTTCGGGGTCTGAACCCGGCGGCATTCGGCCCCCGACAAACTTGATTTCGGAGCCTAAAAAATTAAAAATACGTTTTTTTTTCTGACATTTTTTTTGTGAGTTGTCTATGATATGAGGTACACGCCTATAACTTTTGAAGGAATTTTGCTAAGCCAAACAAAAATTAAAAATCGCCGAAGATGGCGGTGTCAAAACGTGTTCGCCCACTCACTATTTTGTTTTTTTTTTCACTTTTTACTTTTTGTTTTCACTTTATTGCGGGGCCTTCAATACTTTATCATACCAGGAAGGTGTCCCCTCCGATATCAGAATAGGTGGGAGCCATGAGGCCACACCTGGCCGGTGTGTAGTTCGTGATTGGCGCCCGTGGAATACCACCAACTCAGGCCATACCTCCCAACGAGAACATCCGATTCGGTTGCTGGGAATAATACTGGGTAGGTTACCTACTTGGAAGTCTCCCTCTTGGCGCTTCTATGACAGTACCCACCTGGGTCGATACCCAACCTCTATAACAACCTGGGCTTAAAAAAAAAAAATAAAAAAAAATCATGTTGTTACGATTCTGGCCAATTCCGAAGTATAGATTCATCAGAAAGTACAATGCCGTCCAATTGCAAAAAGAAATGAATGAACTTGAGAGGAGAGAGAGGGAAAGATGAAGAAGAAGAAGTAAGAAAGAAGAAGAAGATGATGTACTCCAGCATAGACCAACGACAAGGCTCTTCTTCTTCGCCAACCAATCTCCTCCTCCTTATCTCCTCCCCTCTTATTCAAACAAGAAATAACAATAATAATGTTGAATGGCTGAACCAGAATCAATGTCCAAATCCCACTTCTACTACTGGCACAACATGAGGTCCACCATAGCCATGGCCACCCTTCTCCTTCCCGTCATTGCAGGCCGAGTCTATGGCGGACCACTGAGGCTTCAGCCTCCTGTCCAAAGGACAACCCAAAGCAGCTATGTCGCTGCCGCTTCAAGCAGCTATGCCGCTGCTCACTGAACGGTCTTGCCTGACTCTACCCTGACCGTCCTTGGTGCGGCACTACCCCAACGGGGCATTCCAGATGCAGCGCCTAACAAGGTGATGAAGATGGTGTTCACCATAGTCAGGTAGGTACCTTGCCACTCTTCCCCTTGGTCTCCTTCTCCCTCCTCCTCCTACCGGCCGAGCTCCACCATAGCCGAGGTGGAAGCTCCCGACTTCTTCCTCCCACTAGCGCTGTAGCAGCCAGCGCTCTTCCAACCAACGCTCCAACAACGTGACGCCCAACTCGCACACTGAAGAATGAGGCCGAGCTCTTCCCTCGGCCTCTTGATATAGCGGCCTGCTTGCCTCCTGGGCGGTGACGTCCAGGCCGCTCGGCCTCCCAAGCAGCCGGTACCTCCTCCCTTTCAGAGGGAAAGATCGTTGCAGACTCTGATATTGCCCGTACAGGCTCTAGACTCAGACTGGATGGACTGGTACCGGCCTAGACCTAGCCTACTGCTACTGGGCCTCTAAAAATGCCAACTTTGTCTTCTTCTGCTCGGCCTCGAGTAACCGGCACATCTGCTGCTACTGGGTGCGGTACCGGCCTACCTGCTACTTGAGTGTTTTTCCGCTGCTCTAAGCACCGCGGGCCCCTGGCTCCGCTACTCGAGTGTTTTTCCCTTCTGCAACCCTCAATGCCACGGCCACAGGTAAGTACCGGCCCTACGGGCCTACCAAACAAGCAAGTACCCTTGCGGGTCACACACACACTCATGTCGACAAGCACTCAGACAGGCACCCAAGTCAACAGGCACGCACACATACAGGCTTAGGAAACACAGCCGAATGCGGGAATCTCAGCAAGGCATCCATTCCATCGGCAGAACATCAGAAATCAGCAGGCATTGGCAAGAGCAGCCTCCTGGACTGCCTCGCCCTGCAGTCAGGAGGCAGGCCGAGTAGTACATAGGGAGTTCCCATGCACTTCACGGGTAGGTAGTTGTACAGAAGGCAGGAGGCAGTCTTCAGGATTCGGCAGCAGCACTCAGGAGGAGCGCTGCAGGAGTAGCTTAGCGCTAGCAGTAGTCTTCAGCGCTGGGCGCTAGTAGCTGCAGGAGTAGTCTTCAGCGCAGGGCGCTAAGTAGTGGTAGTGGTAGTAGTCTTGGAGAGAGATGGCTGGCGGAGGCCAGAAATTTACCTGTGGCGCCATAGCTCCAGCTCCATCTTCGAGGTACCTGCATCAAGGCGCCAGCTTCACAGGTTAATACTGGACACAGAGAGAGAGAGAGAGAGAGAGAGAGAGAGAGAGAGAGAGAGAG